GCTTGGATGTGTTTCTCTGGTTGGCAACACTTGGCATGTGTTGTCACAGGTAGTTTCTGGGGGGAACTAAGTATATCCTTGTACAACTCCACTGAGAGGAGACTCCTCAAAAGTTGAGCCTGGTTTCTCCTGGACTTCACCCCAAACACTTTTCCACTTTGCTGACTTCAATCTGTATCCTTTTGCTGTTATAAACCATAACTGTGAGTATAAGAAAAAGAAAAGAGTGGTATAGACTGTGTGTACAATGCAGAGGGAAAATAAAGAGGGGTGAGTTGGAGGTGAGAGCCTTACAGATTAAACAGGGGAGTATAATGTAGTGGATAGGGGTGGGCTCCGGACTTGGATACCTGGGTGCATTTATTGGCCCTTGTATTTATTAGCCAGATGACCTTGCACAAATATTTCCTCATCTATAAAATTGGCGGGCGGTGGGAGGAAGTATATACCTCATAGGGTTACTGTGAGGATTAAATGAGTTAGTACCTCTAAATAATTTAGAACAGTGGTCTGGGCATTATTATAATAATAATTGACCCTGCCAGAAGTTTGAATTTGAGTAAGCAAGAAGGAATGGGGGAGGAGGGGGCACTCTGGGCAGAAGACACAACGGGAGCACAGGCACAGAGATGGGAATGAATGCTGCATAGGAATATGAGAGGGGTAAGGATGGCGGAAGGCCTGAGAAGCCATGTGAAGGAGTTTGGATCTAGTCTAGAGGCAAGAGGTTGGCATGGTGATGAGACAGTATGGAGAGGATTGGATCTAGCCATGTGTGCTGACTCCACTTACAGGGGCTTTTCAAAGCTATCTATAAATATTTCAATTCCTCATTGGGTGTTGGCAAGGAAAACAAGATATTCCGAAACTCAAACCTAGCTCATGTAATCTCTTCATTTTACTAAGAAGTCATTTCCAAAACCGTCTCTTGGATTTTATCAAGTTATTTTGGCTACAAGATTGTTTTATTTTCCCCCCCTCTAGATTTACTCAGCTATTTATTATTTCAAAATACATAGAGTGGCAGATTCTCAAACCACAGGTGTCCTTTTGTTGCTGAAAGACTGACAGCCAGTGAGCTGAGAAAAAAAAATCCTGCTGAAATAAACAAAACCCCTAAACAGTTAGTTTGTATGCATATCTGGGGTGGCAGGTTCATGGATAAGCAGGTATTAGACAGAGCTGTGGCCTCTTGAACGACTGACTCCAGGGACCAGGCAATAGATGGAAACATAATTCTATTTTTAAAGGCCAGCGAGGTGTAATGAATTGACTTACTCCAGCCAAGAGTGCCCCTTCCCATCTGTTGGTGCCTGTAATGGTTAATTTTATGTGTCAGGTTGGCTAGACTATTGTGCCACTTGTTGATCAAACATTAATTTGTTTGCTGTGTTGCTGTGAAGGTATTTTGTAGATGTGATTAATATTTACCATCAATTGACTTTAAAGCAGATTACCTTCTATAATGTGGGTGGGCCTCACTCAATCAGTTGAAGGCCTTAATATCAACAACTGAGGTTTTCCAGGAAAGAAGGACTTCTGCCTCAAGACTAATATAGAAATTCTACCGAAGCTCCCAGACTGCTGGCCTGCTCTACAGATTTTAGACTCAAAACTGGACATTCAACTTTTCCCTAAGTTGCCAGCCTTCCAGCCTGCCCTACAGATTTCACACCTGCCAGTCTCCTCATGGTTCTGTGGTTCTGTTTCTCTGGAGAAGCGTCAAGTGCCCCTCACCCCCAGCAACAGGTACCAAGTTTTCTTGGCTTTCTAAACTCTGGGCCCCGGGCCTATCCTCTTCCCAAAATCAGCATCTCCATGTCCTGCTCCCTCTTGTTCCCAGGAGATAGTATCCAAAATGTTAAATTAGTGCTCAATAAAGAGTTAATAACTGGTGAACAACTTTATAGGGGAGGAACTTGAAAAAACACCTACTGACATGTAACACATTGGCATTTGTCTTAACTGTAACTATAAAACGTTATGCCAAGTAAAAATGGGCCAATTTTCTCTTAGAACTCCATCTCTATAGATTATTAGACTTGGATCAATCCAAAAATAACTTCGAATGCAGCTGAAACATATAGAACACAAAGTAATGTGTCAACATTATGTAAGTGTTAAAATATGTATGTACAGGACAAAGGTGAACAGAAACACAGATAAATACATAGTGGTTTTTTTTTTAAAGAGCATCTACTTCACATTTGGCAAATACATGGCCAAAGTCTATTACTTCTCCCCATCCCAGACCCAAGGCAGCCATCATTCATCAATCAACGCACTCCCCACCTAGAAATGGTCTCCCGAACCATCCTCATCTCTGCGCTAGGCATTCCCTGCACCTGACATGAGGCCTGTTTGCCCTCCTGGATTTGGTCCAACCTTCTTAATTTATAGATGACAAAACTGAAGCCAGGAGAGGGGGTGGATCTTACTTAAGATTTTGTATCTAGCTCACAAAATAACTTGAATCTAAATCTTTTTGCATTTTAATTATGACCTCTTTTTTATAAAAATAAATATTTCAGGCATAAAACAAAGTATAGACAATAATATAATGAACATCTCTATACCTACCACGCAGTTTAAGAGGTTAAATGTGGTGTTCATCATTTCTATGCTGTTTTTGTACTTGTAATTCACATGACTGTTTCCATAAACACTGCTTAGGGGTTGTTTGCATGTGTTTAAACTCTCTACAATAGTCATAGGTGGTCTATATCTTTCTGCAATCTATCTTTCCTCTCAAAATTATATTGTTCAGATTTATCCATCTCAAAAATACATCTAGTTTTGGTGCTTTTGTTTTAATTATTGGATAATCTTCCTATTCATCTATTCTTCTATTGATTCATATTTGATTATTTCTAATTTGTTGCTATTATAAGTAACAGTACCAGGAATATTCCTATGTGTGTCTTTTATGATGTATATTTTAAGTGATGCTGATCTCTTTACATCAGGCCACATATTCTCAAGTAAGTGACAGAAAGGGGTGAGGGAGAGGGGAGGAGCATCACTCTCTTACCAACTTCACTCTTCCTTCCTCAGTTAGCAGACAGACAGGGTGACTATATATAATTGGGGTGGGAGGAAGGAGATTAATTCCATTTCTTTAATTTGACTTTTAATCAGTATAGTTGCTTTACTTTGAATTTCAGATACCATTAAAAGAGGGTGTGAGATTTTTCTGTTTATAAGGAGATGCATGGGTTAAAAATGGCTGTGATACCCTGTTAATCCAAAGAAGTCTCTCTATAATAGTGCTATATTTAAACCATGTGGAAGGCCATAGGGTGAGACATTTAGGATGGCAGCAAGCAAGACTTTGAGCATTTTTCAGTCCCTCAAAGAGATGTTTTTGCCTTCATTACTCAGATCCTAAACTCTTTCCTGACTGTATTTTCTGTCTAGAAGAGAGGTTGTAAACTGTCATTGACAGGCTCAATTAGTCTATGGGCATATTTTATTTGGTTTGCTTGGTATTTGAAATACTTTCAGCCAGCATTAAATAACTACTAGGACATTTTATATAAAAATCTGGATTTCCATCTTCTCCGGCAACGTTAGGTTAGTGTAAATTGATAGGGAACACGCTCTCCAATTCGTCGCAGTCTCACCACTCCGTTTGGTTACACTAGGCCTTTTTGAAGCATTACATCACCTGCCTGGCCCTGGTGGGCATCTGACTTTACCACACCTGCTCTCAGGCCTTTCACCATTTGTTCCTTACGCTGAGCAGTTGCAGGAGTCACTTATACAAAGACTTCATGCTCAAGATACTCAGGCAAATACTGGGCCTCTCTCCCCTTGAAACTCACTGTAGGTCAAGCAGACCGACTTACAGGAATGCAGGACTTTTGTTTCTCAGGAATGGGTGTTTCAATCAGGACTGCCAGTGTTGAAACTTTCCTGAGTCAAGAAAAATCTCATTGCTGATTCAGAGAAGCTCAATGTAACTGAACCTCAAGTCCAGGCCAAGGCTGCATTTGTTTCCTTGGTTCTGTGTACGATGACAGGGTGTATTTTTATGCATGGTTTTCAGGGAAATGGTGAGAGATAGGAAGGCTGCAGGGACCAATTTCAGTCCCTTCCATTATATTTTGTGCTTAGGAGCTGCCATGTCTTATGTACAAGCCAGGCACAGACCCTGGTATTTCAAGATTCTCTATGGTTGTTTTCATAATTGGTGCCTCCGGAATTTTGGGGATATATTCAGCAGAATTCTAAAATGAATAGCTCTAAGTATTCTGAGTAGCTGATACAAAGTTATTTAGAAATTTTTATGATTTGCCCATCATCGTTTTAGAGAACTTATGAACTCATGCATTACCACATGCAATTCTTGTATTACGAAAGGAAGGCAGCTTTTCCAAGAAAGCTAAAAATACCCAGTTTACAACATGACCCAGGTCTGTCAGTCCCCAACACACCATTTCCCCATGGCTTAAGCCTTCCATCCAACGAGCCTGAATGATTTCAGCAAACCCACTTTTCCTGACCTCCAGATCACAGCCTTTCTCTTCTACAAATTCTAGCTCCAAGCCTGACAATCTCATGAAGAGACTTCAATTTCCTCAGCATTACCCTTGATCCGTAGCCACCACCAATGCGCTTAATAATTGTTGCAAAAACAGCTGTTGATTACATCACAGTTGAATATCTTCCCCTTGCTGTTAAATTTTAACCATGCTTCTAAGTGTGTAAGCCCACATGTCCTGTGCAGTATTCCCTAGGAGTGCTTAGCAATATAGACAGATGAAAGGCTACATAATTGTTCTTTAGCTGTATAGCAGATACCATCTTTGTTCTCCAAGAAAGATATGGAACAATGTAAGGTTGTAAGAACAACTAGCTGAAATGCCACTGAATAAGATGATTCTGTTCAGTCTTAAACTATTCAGTTACCCTTTGTGCATTAATAGAACAGTGGTTATTTCTTAATTCAAGCTGGGAGAGAAAAAGAAGTGATGAAGAAAAGAAAAATGAATACTCACAGCTCTGTCCATTTCTTGCCTGATTGTGGTGATCTTTTTTGTTCTGTCTGAAAAAGAAAAATTCCAGAAATAGAATAAGATTAACAAGAAAATTATTCTGTTTATAGGCTAAAAGTTGGCAGAACAAAAAGTAAATCCAAATAAATCCACATATAGAAGTCCAATCGTCTACTGTGGCTTAAGACCTCAGCCTGAATAATGTATAATGTAAAACTGTACCTTTAGGCAGAAATTATGAACAAATAATGCCCCCACTTCCCATTCCTTTGTCTGCCCCTGACCCCTCAGAAGCTCAGAGGCCGAGGGGCTGCTACTTTGGGTACTTAGCCCAGGATATATGTCTGGCTCCAGATTTGTCTCTACCTCTTCTGCTTTAGTCATTACTGCCACTTCTTTCAGGTCTGCTCTACACAGAGCCGAAGGTCTGATCAATTAATTTGCACTGAGGTTTAAATGACTGATACTGGTTCAAAGTAACTCAGGGGGCAGAAGCACAAGTTCACGTAACAGGGTGCTACTGCCAACTGCTTCCCTGGTTTCATCTCTTTCTCAATCCCTGATTTCACATGTTCCCTCCTTCTAGATTTTCTTTCAGGTCTTGATGTCTATCTCCTGCAGTTCTGGGTTCCTGAACTGGGTCCATCCCTAATTCTGCTTTTGCTCTGTACACCAGATTTTTAGTAACTCCCTCATCCTGGGCCTCTATTCAGCATTATGGTCTCCTCCGAGAGGGTTGCATTTGAAAGGAGCCCAATGGGTAACCCATAGGAATTGCCCTGGAATGTTGGATTTTCAGTGAAGTCCTCTCTAATGCCTGAGGTGAGTGCTGCCATTCTCTGTGGTTCTTATGCACCCATAAGTCAGCATATTTAGCCTTTGGTTTACATCCCAAAGTAAAGTCTTGGCTCGGTATTTAAGGCATTGCCACTGAAGGTGCAGTCCTTGGGCTGGTACTGGTAGGTGAACTGTTTGTTATCAGTCCACGGTGAGATAAGTACAGAAGTCGAGTAAACATTTAGAAAAATTTGTAGTAATTCTTTTACTACTTTATACTTTTTTCTGGTCATATTTATTCAAATGGCCTGTTAGATTTATTAAATCCAGTAAAAACTGGACTTGCTTTGTCTTTGTTCTCTCCATTTCATTTTTCAGTAATTTGTTTTTAATATATATTATAAAAGTATCGATTCCAACATATTAGAAATCTGAAAAAACAAAAACTGGTTCTTTACCATAGAGAGTTTGAGAAACAGAGAACTGGCTTCTATAGCTGGTAACTCCTACTGGATCCTATTTTTGGCTTTGCCATCAGCCCAGCAAGTTAATGAACAAATCACTCAATTATTTCGGTTGAGGCTCTCTCCTTCCATTTCCCAAAGAAAATGTATAATGTAAAATTTCTTCAGATTGAACCAATTTTTATTAAGCACTTTTGCAACAAAAGGGCCATAAGTCTTGGAGTCATACAGACCTGTGTTCAAACCCCAACTATATGACTTTAGAAATATTTTCTGAGCTTCAATTTCTTCATCTACAAATTAGACACTACTCCTTGCCTCAAGCAGTTTTTGTGAAATTAGTGGAAAATGGGTCTAGCACAATGCTGTCTAGTAGAACTTTCTGCAAAGATGGAAATAATTGTATATATGCTCTGTCTAATACAGTCGCCACCAACCCCCTGTGGCTACTGAGCACTTACAATGCGTGAGCACTTAAAATGTGATCAAGGAATTGAATTTTTATTTAATTTAAATTTAAAACCACATGTGGCTAGTATATTATACCGGGCAGGTTAGCATATGTACTTGCGTATAGTTAAGTTCAATGTTTAAATTTTATTGAACGTCTATATTTGCCAGGTAATGTTTTAGACACTGGACATATATTGGTGAATAAGAGAAACACAGTCCCTGTACTCATGCAGCTTAAAGACTAGCAGATGAAGCAGAACTTGACATTGTTCTTGCAATAAGAGTTGTTAACTTCTTTGGAACCCAGCAAGTCACCCTGGAGCCCAGATCTGTAGAATGGTTCCTCTTAGATGAAGGTGGTAAACAGAACCTTTTCTGGACTAACAGTGGCTGCCCTCTCGATACACCTTGGTGTGCAGAACTTGTTGCTGAGACGTAGGTGGATAAATCTGTTTAGGAGCCAAGGAGCCTTCTGGGTGGAAAGGGACTGAGACCTCTTTCCTTGACTCTCTCTGATAGACTGAGAAGTTCAGGACATCAATGGCTTTAAGAGGAACTCAGGATAAGGAAGTCAGGACTAGTGTCCCAGGCTCAACCTGAAGGCCGAGAGCAGAAGGGGGTGGCTTGGTATTGCTATGGTTAAGGCAGAAAGGCCCTCCTCCCTTATCAGCCGGAGGATCCTGCTTTGGGAACAGTGTCAGGAAGCAGCACTGGCCCTGTGGGCTAAGTAAGCTTCCTGACCGTTTGTCAGAAGTGAGGAAGTACATGCTGTAAGAGAGAGACATTGGACTCCTTGCTGAGATGGGCAGGTGGGTGCGAGAGGACTTAACTGGAACATTAAAAGAGATGCAATTACATTTGTAGCCCAAGCTATTAATAAAAGGACCTAGATATGTAATTGTGTGCTGAGTATATTGAAAGGAGAAGTAGGTGCTATGGAAGCACTTGACAAGGTGATTTAATGTAATGGGTGTGGTGATGGGGTAGATTCAGGGGGAGGCTTGATGAAGTGACAGCTTAGCTAAGATTTAAAGGATGACTGCAACAGAGGTGGACAAGGAGAAGAAAGTATACTAAGAAGAGCAATACTGTATGCGAAAACTCAGAATTGAAAGAGTGGGAAGTCTCTGAAGACTGGAAAATCCTGTAAGGCTAGAGCTTGGATAGCAAAAGTGATGATGATATTGTATAAGCTGGAGACATGAGTCGCACCACCCAGGACTCGTTGGGGCTTCATCCAGTGAGCAATGGGAACTCATGGAAGAGATCTGAACAGAGGAGACATGGCCAGTTTGAGGATTTAAAAGCCTATGCTAGCTAAAAGTGAAAATAGACCAACTGAAGGTGGCAGGCGTGGAGGCAGGGAGATGAGTTATGAGGGTTCTGCTCTAGTCCAGCTTGAACCATGGTAGTGGCAGTGAGGTTGAGTCAATCAGCTGCAAAATGTAATTCCCATGTCGCTCCCCATTTTACAGACAGAAAAACCATCTCAAAGAAGTTAGATGATTTGCAGCAATATCATAGAACCAACAAGTGGCAGCACCAGGCCCAGACCTAACCTCCTGACCCTTGTTTAAAGCTCTGTCCACAGCAGCAGCAGTTCTCAACCTTTTTCCCGTGACACTTGAGTTTGTGCTCATGGCAGACACATTTCCTCATGTGTATCTGCATGTTTGCCATGTAAGAAAGCAGATCCCAATGCACATGAGTTAGAGAGGGGGGCTATTATATAGGCAACCATGATTTCACCCTGGTTCATTTAAAATGAAAAAGAAATCATTTGCAAAATTATTCATTTAACCCTTATTAGTAACAAATCCCTTCCACTGCAGCTGGTACCTGAGCCTAGCACCCAGGAGCTACTGATGTCCTCACTCACTCTTGAGACTGGGATGAGGGATGAGGGGAGGATTTGCTCTGCTCCACCTTTGAGTGTAATTCCATTTCATTCTCCCAAAAGGAGTAGAAACAGAAGGCTCTGATGCTCATTTCTGAGGTGACTAATGGGTTCTCAGCCCCCAGGTCTGGAACCTTGGTATAAAGCTATTTCTGAGAGGTATGTATGTGGGAGGTAAAAGAAGAATGGCAGAAGACAAGACTGTAAAGAACTGCATCCCTCATGACTCTCTGAGGTCGTAGATTTGCAGAAGTGATTCTGTTTAGTCAAAGTTCTTCCAGACAAGACCTCGTAATTCCTCCTTTACGGTAAAGCGCCTTTCCCCTCCACATAGCTCATCATTTCTCTCTCTCTCTCTCTTTCTCTCTCTCTCTCTCTCTCCTCCCCCATCTCTCTCTTTTTCCTCCTTTCTTGTCCCTTTTCCCCTTTTTTCTTCCTCCCAACTCCCCCTTTCTTTTAATAATAGTTCCTTGGATTCCACAGTAGAGGGGTTTGTGGATATTACCCAAGCTAATGCATGCGTAGGGCAATGGACAAAAATAGAGTATTACAAATTCATGGCAGATGAGAATATAGAAATTAGATTGTAAATGTAGGATAACAACCACTTAAAAAAACCCACAATCCTGAAATAGTGACTGCCCCAAATTCCTATTTAACTGTTTCCAGATGTCATTTCCTTTTCTATAGACAAGGCTGTGTGCAGATCTTGGGAGGAGCTTGCTGGGTGCTGACAATGGGACAGTTTAGGAAAGTACTACATAGATCTGCAGATATTCTGGCCAGGGCTCAAAGGCTGCAGCAGGCACAATAGGAGTGGGGGAGCTACTGAAAGACTGCAGGGCACCACCAAACTGGTCCTTTCCCCACCCCCAAATGGCCTCACACACTTTCTCCTTTTCTTACCCAACCAAGGGATTTGGACTCCTGGAGGTGGGATGTGGGGGGCTTAGCCCAGCTGATACCCGGAATGGGGAAAAGAGAAGTGAAAACTGAAGGAATCAACAGAAAGGATCCCGGCATCCTCCCACCAGTGAACTCTGCATCGCCACCCCCACAGAGGTCTGCATTGCCAACATAACACCAATCTCACGAGGCCAGTGATACTTCTCAGCTCAAAGAACCAAACAAACTATTTCAGCCACAGGAAGGAACAAAGCATGCCTTTTAAAATGTTCAGTGTAAGGATTTTAGCTCACTGAAGACTAGAGCCATTTTCTCCTAGGAAAAAATCATCAGGAGGAGCCCAAAGCAATTCATAAGCCCTGAGTGGATTTAGTGTGAAACTGAGAAGCGATAGGCCAGTGGGGCAAAGCAGAGCCTCACACTGCAGACACCTCGTTCGTTTGGTTACCATGAATAAAACTCACCTTTTGTAGAAAGCTTTTGACAGAGTTGTTTTTTTAGGAATATCGTAGCTGTGAACACTAAAGCAATGACAAATAAAGGGATGAGAATATGAAGCAGCGAAGTCGGAGGGATCTTGGGTTCCATCTCACCTGGGCAAAAGAAAAGGACCAGAATGCAATTATATGGTAGCTTAGCAGTAAACCAACAAGCAGGCCTTCAGAGTGGGTTATAACCAACCTGGCCAGCTTGCATTGAGCATTTACTTCATACCAGGTATTGTTCTATGTGTGCTTTATATATTAGCTCATTTACTCCTCACAACCACCCTATGAGGCAGGGTCTACTATGACCCCCATTTTACTAGTGAAGAAAGGGAGGCATGAGAGCCTAGGAAACTTTCCCAAAGTTATACAGTAAGTGACAGAGCTGAGGTATTAATCCAGACTGTATGATTCCAGATTCCATGCTTTCCATCATTCTGACATATCTATAATTTTTTTTTCTTTTTCTTCCTTCCTTTACTTCTCTCTCTCTCTCTCTCTCTCTCTCTCTCTCTCTCTCTCTCTTTCTATCATTATCCTCTCTCTTTCTAGTAGGACAGTCCCTCAGCTCCCAAATGTGTCTTCCTCCTCTTTCAAGCATTCTCAATGCTTAGAATCCATACCATTAGTTATTCAATTTCAAGGAGTCACAGAATCCTTTTGAAAAAATAAAATATTGTAGGCAGTGTTAATATACAAAATCTAGTCATTGTGAATTACTACAACTAGCCCTTTTCTTTGTCATAACTAATCAAGGTCTTGGCACTGAGAAAAAGATGAGTTTAGTAGAGAGGTGGATGATAAGAGAGTAATTTTGGAGCCTGGAGAAAGCCTTGTAAAGGAGAGCTCTGGGTATCTACAGGTTAGAATGAGGGCCCCAGAGTGACAAAGGACAGGACTGGAGGAGGTTCATTATAGGGAGATGGAAGGGGACCCAAAGTAAACTGTGCCCTTTCCAAAAGCCTGAATTTTGCCTTATGGAGTAACTCATACAGAATGAATGTATCAGCCTAGTCTGTGAAAAACACAGCAAAACTGTTCAGGAGGAAAGGTCCCAGTCCTGCAAATGGCCCTTCCCCTCCCCTACCATGGTGCTGAGAACCACAGACAGTTTTAGCTGCGAAGGGAGATGTCATTTAACCTGAGCTCCTCATCTTAGAGTTGAGGAAGTAAGGCCCAAAGTTGCTAAATTATCTATCTAAGGTCATCACTGCTAAGTAAGCAGCAAAGCCAGTGTTGCAAACCCAGATCTTTCTGCTCCAAAGTTCAGGCCCCACAGATATTTGTCTCTATCCAAAAAGAGTATGGTGAAAATTAATGAATAAAAGGATTGATGGGCTCCTTTACATGTTGGATAACCCATACTTAAAAAAATTTTTTTCTGTTGTTGAAGTCAATTGACATGCATTATATTTATTTCAAGTGTACAACATAATGACTCAATATTTGTATATACTGTGAAATGATCACCACCATAAGTGTAGTTAACATCTCTCACCATACATGAATAACCCACATTGATTACAGTCCGCTCCTTCACATATAGGAAGTGCTATTTAAGCACTTGCTGCATGTAGCACGGTGAGCCAACGAGTCCTGGGACCCTCACAGCTCCCACAACAGGAGAGGTCCCTACCTCCGTGCCTTTATGCAAACCCTTATCCTGTCCAGGTGCTCTCATAGTCCCTTCCACATACAAAAGCTCTAATCATCCCCGAAGAGTTTTGAACACTGAACATCCAACAGGACACCAGTCTACTTAGGTTGTAAGTCGTTGGAGTGTCAAGTCTTTAAGCCACCTCTGAACCCTCTATAAAGCCAAGGACCAGCTACATGAAAGGTGTCAGTCAGGATTTGTTGGGCTGAATTGACTGCCTGTCTAGCCTGATCTTCCTTGTCATCGGTCACCTTGTGGCAGACTGCTGCTTAGTCCTTAAATCCATTCTCCCTTTCTTCCCTAGTATTAGCTAGGTGTTAGCGGCACAAAAGGCCTCCCAGAGACTACAAAAGGCCTCCCAGAGACTACATTCCTAAGTCTCCTCTGCAGTTAGGTGTGGCCAGCCACGTAAACACTCTTCAGGCCAAGAGAATGAGTCTTCTGAGTCTTGGACTTAAAACACTGAATATGTCTCTTTTTCCTTTCTGAAGACTAAAACATGAATGTGGAAGTGACCCAGCTTTGACCATTCAATAGTGATAGCACCCTGGAGAGTGGCAGAACAACAGATGGAAAGAACCTGGATTGCTGAATGACTTTATGGAACATAGGTATTTATCTGCTCTGAACCAACTTCTGTCTCTAAATATTACATGTGAAAAAAATAGGCTTGTGTCTTGTTTGAATCACTACATTAGCCTATATCCTAATACATATTCTTCTAAATTGTTTTATAATATTTGGATGCTACTTAACAATGATATGATGATGCAGTTGGAAAACTGTTTCATCCTCACCCACAGTCCTGTCCACACACAAGGAAGTCACACCTCTTGCTAAAGGTGCCATATCTTTTACCAGCTTCCATACTTTCTGAGTGCTAAGGACTTTACAAACATATTTCATTTAATCTTCACAATAATTCTATAGGGTATCTACCATTATGTACTCTCATTATACAAATGAGAGGCAACTCTAGGGTGGCCCAGTCATATGTTCAAGTTCTCAAAGCTAGTAGGTAGCAGAGAGGATTTGAAATTCAAGTCCATCTGACTCCAGAGCCCATGTGTTTCACCACTGCCAGAGTCACTGCCAGGTCTCTGCCAGCCCTGTAAGGACCTTGTTATAGTTATTTCCTGTGCTCCAGTTTCATTACATTTGGTAATGAAAATGCAGCAAATGACTCAGCAGAAGAAACTCTGTTTTAAAAGGAAAATCATCTCATTGTCTCTTAATTTCTGATTCAGTGTTAAGATGTTCAGTCATCCATTCTAGAGACTTGGGAGCACCTCCGGAATTTCACTGCTGTATTTGTTTGATTCATTAACTTCTGGAGAAGCTTGTGGTGGATCAAAGAAGTCATCAGTAAGCCACTCAACTTATGAGAATGAGTACAAAGGAGACAGTCATAAGACAACTGGAAATGCCTTTGAGAAATAGAAGCTAGGAATCTGTGGGAGGATGTGTGACTTTGGTTATTTTCTTGTTGGTATTTGTGCACAAACCAGGGGACTTCTCTGACCTGGCTGTCCACACAACCTGGCAGCTGGGATGATGAGATCATCTAAGACTAAGTCTTCAGCCCATTAATCTGACATTTATGGAGCACTTAATACAGGCAAAGCACTCTGCTTTTGCTTTAGTCGGGGTATAAAGAAGACCCATGTGAATGATTGAAATACATGGAAAATAAAATAGCAATGAAAGAGGGCCGGCCGAGTGGCGCGAAGGTTAAGAACTGGCTTGGGACGCCAGAGGGCCCTGGTTCGGATCCCACATATGAGGGCCAGTGACACTGCCCTCTACAGCTAAGATGCTGAACAACAGCTCAACCTGGAGCTGGGCTGCCATGAGTCGCCAGTGACGGCGTAGGCTGCAGCCCCTGTGGCAGTGGGTTGCCATGGGCTACCGTGTGTAGCCAGCAGCCAGCGTGAGCGGCCAGCGGCCGCAGTGAGCAGCCATCCAGAAGCCAGCGACTGATCTGCCTTGCCCGGGAAGAGCACAATGATGGTGCCAACTTGGGCCAGTGAAGCAAAGTCTTCCACAACTAGACTGAAGAACAAAATGACAACTTGTCTGTTCCCCTTCCCCCAATTCCCCAGCACTGTTCCCATCCCCCTAATTCCTCAATAAAAAAACAACAAAAAAAACCCCAAAATAGCAATGAAAGAGAAAAGACAAATACAGTCACAGGCAAACAAAGAAATGGTACAATTAATCGATCTTAGGAGGCTAGATGAGGGAAGACCTCTTGAATCTTGGCGTTACCTGAGCTGCCCTAGAGAGAGGTTGGGCTTGAAATTGGTAAAGAAGTGCATAATGATATTTTATGTGAAATAAAGAGCCTGAACAAAGAAGCCATGGAGGTGGGAGAGGTGCAAGCAAGTTCAGAGAGTACTTGGTGAGGAAGGGAAGCTGACTGGAGCAGAGGATCCACGTCAGGGGATAGTAGGATGAATATGAAGCTGGGAAAGATGGGTCAGACTAGGATGAGAATCTCTAATTACACAAAGATTTCTCCATCCCCCTACCAGTTGCATTCATGAGTGATATCCTAGGAGACCCCAAGCTCTGATGTGACTCCACAGGCCCTTCCCACAACTGTTGACTATTTATTCATCTATGCTGGCTCAGAGAAAGAGAGAGAGAGAGAGAGAGAGAGAGAGAGAGAGAGAGAGAGAGAGAGAGAGAGCACCTTACTTCGTTCAGTCTTAACTTCTCATAGCCTCAAGACTTCCAGAGGAACGATCAGTGTGTCCTCCTACTTCTCTATCTACTACAGAAAAAACCAAAACATAAACAAAAACAAAACAAAAAGAACACTGATATAATCAGTGGTGCAAAGGGTAGATTCTAGTTATTTCCAAATTCATCTTACTCAGGTCCCTTTCTCTGTGGAGATCCTTATATTAAATGTGCTTCTATAATAGAAAACTACATTTCATGCAAAGTACTGAATACACAATTTCAGGAAAAATAAATTCTCCTGGGCTTGTTAGTACTTAAGCCTCTAAAGCTCTAGTATGAGTGAATTATAGCTTAATATTCATAAGCTCACAAGTCTGATGGTCTTAACTGTGATAAAAAGAGAGAGATTATTGAAAAACAAACTTGCCTAATTCACTATATTCATCCAAAGTTGACCCTAAAAATGGTGTGTTTCTAATGTCTTTACTTCTATCAAGGTCCTTAGTATGACTCCTCTCTTTACTTCCTTACTTCACCATAATAACTTAGTTAGAAAGCAGCTGGCCTAATTTTAGTGTTGGAATGGAGTAGTGAAGTGTAGACAGGTAGGGGAGTGCAAAATTAGGGGGTCAGAAATGACAATGCAGCTGGCCGCCTGTAAGAACTATATCAAGTAGGTATTGTTTTGGTTTTTTTTCAGAAGACAATACTAGGAAATTAATGGGCTTTGAGTCACATCAAAGTTCTCCCTCTGGTCTGTTGAGTGGTACCAGTTCATGATAAGATTTACTTTACTTTGAAATGGAGCAGATAATTCTGATGCCCCTACTCATACCCTGTTTGTCCCATCCCTGATTGCAGGCATGGCTGAATATGGCTGAATGATGGATGGTTTTGTGCAGGCTCTGACTCACTTCCCTCTGACAACCTCACCTCAAGCATGTGCTGCTTCTATGCCAGGGCTACCCCACCGCTGAACGTTGGTCCCTCTCACCACTGCTTCCGATAACCAACTTGTAGAATTTTTGCTTCTCATCTCCTCAGATTTTGGGTTTACTGGATTAAAAGTCCAGCTTTCTAGTGGTAAATGCTTCTACCAAAGGATTATGTTCTACTGTATCTAAAGTTACAGCTACTGTCTCTTCGGCTTGAGCTCTACCCACTGGCAAAGAAAATAATTATTATATTGGTGGAGTAATCAGTCATAATTACCATGAAGAACTTGAATTCTATTACATAATGGAAGCCATAAAAACTATGTCTAGAGCCCAGGGATCCACCAATTCTCTGATTCTTGTTACTTCCATGCCCGATAATCACAATGAAAAAACAACTGCAGCAACCTCAGTCAGCTAAGGACAAGGCAGCTGGGGCTCAGATCTATCAGGATTAAAAGTCTGAATCCCCCAGCCAAACAAATTATTGTACCTGAAGTGCTGAGTGGCGGAAATCTAGAATGTTTGGTGGATGAGACAAATGACAAGTATCAATTATGGCTTTGGATCAATTGCAGCAACAGGAACTATAGTTTGTTCCACAAACTCTTATATATGAAATCTTTTGCAGAGATTGTAGCTGCTTCCCTGCCTGACGGTTCAGAGTCCGTGGACTTAATGTAGGGCATGAGTGGGCTTGAGCAGCACAAGGGATAGATTTTTGTAGTCCTGTTTCACTTCCTCTCAGCTTCTCCTTTGATTTCTGCCATAGATTGGGTATAATTTTGGTTGGGCTTCGACTTACTTCAGAGCCAGTGATTCACATCAAGTGGACATTTACTTTCTGCCCTGGGATGACCCTGATGCTACAGAAGACTGGGGGAACTCACTTAGCCCACATGCATTCACAGCTCACAGCTGTTCATACTCCTGGGGACAACTGTCAACCAATGGGGTGAAGGCAGATGGATTAATCTTTCCACCTGAAGCCCTTTGAGTAAACATCTTAGAAGGCTGTCTGTATGCTTCTCAGGTGGCCCTTGTATATCTGAGCTTCTGTTGCCCACATCAACAACTTTTATAATGTATCCCTATATTTGCTTTTCTTTCTTTCCTGTCTTAACCTCTCAAGTTTCTCACTTCTGCTCCCTGGGGTCACCAAATACCTGCATGCCAACAAGTCTTTATCACAGGCTCTGCTTTGTCTAAGACAAATGACAAAAAGTAAAATATAATGACAACAGAGTGAATTTTCTATAAAGTCAAATTTAATCAGTACTAGGGACTGTCTTTTATTCTGAGATTATATCTTTTATTTGTATGGTAGCAGAATAACGGCTCCCCTCAAAGATGTCCATGGTCTAATCCCTGAAATCTGTGAATGTGTTACCCTACATTGCAAAAGGGTTTTGTAGATGTGATTATATTAAGGACCTTGAAATGGAAACAACATCCTGAATTATTGAGTTGAGGTGGCAGGGATGGCATCCAGTGTAGTCACAAGGGTTCTTAAAAGGTGGAGGAGGGAGGCAGGAGAACTTAAAGAGATGTGATAATAGAAGCAGAGGTCTGAGTATTGCGATTGTTGGCTTTGAAAGTGGAGGAGGGGTCCATGAACCAAGGAATGCAGGTAGCCTCTAGGAGCTGGAAAACCCAATAAAATGAGTTCTCCCTTAGGGCCTCTGCTATCTTGTCGACACTTTGATTTTAGCTTAGTGAAGACTTTTTCAGACTTCTGACTTCTAGAACTGAAGGTTAACAAATTTGCATTGTCCTAAGCCCCTGAAGTTTGTGGTCGTTTGTTACAGAAGTAATAGGCAACTTATGCACTTGGTGATAAAATGACCTGTCTCTTATGAAATAAAATGACCCATTTCTAGATGTTAGTTGTTCTTATTTGGCAAGTAAATGTCCTGACTTGGCAAAAATAAAAATTGTCAGACTTCCAAAATTGTTTGAACTTTTGCTGGTGTATGGAGTTCTAAAGTATGAGATTCAGCATAGCCAGCAAAAGCTCTAGAAGATTTTTTTGAAGAGGCCAGTTTTCCTGTAAAACCCCCAAACCATTTGGCTGGCGGCAAAGCCACAGCAGAATAGTCATCTTGTTGACTCAAAGCACCCTGCCTGAGGCATAGTGATTAGCTATCGTGCTGGATGCTTTTTGTTTCCTTTTCATATCCATTCTCTGCACTTCAACACTCTGTTCTGAGCTCTGAGACATTGATGTTTATGGAACATACCAGGGGGACTCCCTTGTTCTCTGACTTCCAGCTGGGTTCAGCCAATGGGAGGCACCAGCAGGAGATTGGAGGGCAGGAGAAGAATGAAGTTGGGGTATTCATTCACCCAGCTTTGCCCTTTGGAGTTGCCTCAGGCGGTAGCATCCCTCTATTGAAGGCCACAGTTCCCATCAAGTGTGCTTTCCTTACAGCTCCCTTCTCCAAGGTTTCAGTAACCTCTCCAATAGGATTAGTTGCTTCCCACGTGTTGAAGCTCCAGGGTCCTCCACTATCCTTCAGAGTTTCTCTAAATCCTGATCACAACTTCATAAATAGTCACTTTATTATACGCTCCTTAAATTACTTGTTCTGAGAGAGCCATCTATTTCTTGCCTGAGCCCTGAATGGTAGAGCTAGGAACGGCAGGCAGCTCTTACCTGCAGGGTCAATGATGGCTGAAGTCAGTTCCTTTACATCAGCATTCCAGAACTCACAGCTGAAGTTTCTGCCAGGGTGTGGCTTGAGGCGCAGAATGCTAGTGACCCGGTAGAGGTCTTCGGAGGTCTTCATGTGGCTTGTGTTGGCAGAAACATTGATATTTGGCCAGGACACTTCTGCCAGGGGATAGCCTTCAGCTTGGCAGGTGAGCTCTACCTCATCTGTCCCTGGGAACTTAAGGATGCTAGTGTTTATTTTCGTGTAGGAAGCTGGACAATAGAAGAAGAAAAATAAGTAAGCTTTTCTTTTCTTATTCCTGTAGAGCTCTGTACTCCATGCCATGTGAAATGAATAAAATGATCATTATTAATATTAAGTAAAAATGGCTTTAACTTTTAAAACATTTCCTTTGTTTCAGATATCAGGCTACTTTACAAACATTGAATTATTTAATGCGTACCATACAACAAAATGACATTGTTGATATTTTCAATTTTTGTTAGGGATAATTGAAGCTAGAGAGGTTGAGATTTTGCCCAGAGTCACAGGGCTAATAACTGGTGAAGCCAATATTTGCACACTGGAAGTTTGATTCCAAATCTCAATAGCGTTTTTTGCCACCACACTCTGTGGCTTCCTGTACCGGGTGTGCCAAAAAAATGTATACACATGACTTGTATTCATCTTTTGTTATCAGCATATATTGAGTATTACAATTTTAATACAGTTTTTTCCTTTTAAATATGTGTATACATTTTTTGGAACCCTCTGTATTGCTGTAAATTGTCTCACAATTAAGGACTGAAGAGAAGAAAGAGGATGGATAAATAAAATTACTAGCTAACCCCCATATCTCACTTTATTTAGAGTTTTTTCTAACATTTTCAAGAGAAAATTTTCTTTGCACTTCCCCCTTTCTTTGGTTCTCTGATATTAGGAGGAGGAAAAATAAAGACCTAGCTTCTGTCTATAAATAGTAAAAAATTGGGTATATTTATTATTTACTTCTCTTTTCCAGCACGCACACACGCACACGCGCGCGCGCGCGCGCGCACACACACACACACACACACACACACACACACACACACACACACCATTCTGTGCAGTGTATGCTGAGTAAATTAATTAGATATAACTTCCTGCCCTCTGGAAAACAGATCTAAAATAGACACGAGTGATATTGAGAGGAAGGACCCCAGAACAAATTGTCCAGTTATCTCAGATGATAGCTAAAAATAAATAAGTATTAATAACATATGCAGATGCCAGGGAGTGTGGAAAGTAACCTGTTGATGTTTGGTGAAGGGACGAGGGAATGAACATTAGCTTTCATTAAGTAGAAAATATTTCCTTAAGAAATATAATAGAATTTCAATGCAATCATTGGAGTAAAGATAGATATACGGCACAGGTGTGGTAAAACTGTTCTTTTTTTTTCTTCTTAAATTGTTGGGAGGCATATCAATGGGCACAAACTTTGTAAACAGAGATTTTATATTAAGGTAACGACAACAGCCATGTGGAAAATGTCAAATATGTATGATTTACTAAGTGTTCTCTAGATGTTGAGCCCTGGGCTTTTTACACACTGAGGAGGAGGAAGGAAAGTTCATGCCCTTTGCCACAGTTTTTGCCCCTTGAGCACCTCCCCTGTGTGTTCCTATTATGAGTTGTTAATATGATTAGTTATAGCCAAAGACACTCACTGGGTCACTATTCACTGAAGAGCAATGTGACCGCACCTTCAAATGCTGTTAAAAACCTGTGACCCTCTGTTGACGTTCTTGGTGCAGTAAAAGCATACCCTGCTGCGCGTGCTGGCCTGCCAGCCTCAGAAAGCTCTGACATCTTCCCAGCTCACAGTATCCCAGATTCTGCTCATGACTGTGTGGGCAGGGCAGATCTTCTTTTTGGTGAGTCTGGATGGATGAGTGACTTCAGAGTCTGATCTGCAAACCTGGACTTTTAGGTTCAGATGAGGGAATAGTCATGTTCCTATTCTAAGTCATGTTCTCCAGTGTGAATGACCAGAGAAGCCCCCAAATTGGGAGAGGGGAAAGGAGAAAATCATGTGCTCATCCAGTTATTAATTTAAAAAATGGAGTTCATTTCCAATTTGGTATTGATTCTTTTGTGTGTAGCTCACTTAGTCCAGAACTTGGAGAGGAACAGGGGTAAGTGGCTCTAAAACCTGACTCCATCCTCTTAATATCCATTATCTTATTTAAACCACACAAGGATCCTATGAGATAGGTAAAATTCATATTCCTATTTTGTAAATGAGAAAACACCCTGTAATCTGGGGTGGAGGGATGGACTTGAACTCATGCCTGTCACAGCTACAGTGTTCTGATTTCCGCATTGGAATCATCATAAGAGGATGATTTTCTATGTAACTGCAGAAGTCTGGGCATGGAGCAACATGGAAGAGGGGTATGTTCTCCAAGGGAACCTGGTACCCAGACTAGTACCTGAGGAGAATCAGGTTCTGAACCAGCCTACTGAAAGAGTTGAACTAGTTACATTTACTAGTTTCCTTGGAGCCAAATTTTGGTCTATGTCTAGCAATCAAACAGTATCGCAGTCATGCATTCAGGGTACTCACTTTATCTTTCATATAATGTTATTTATCAATACTTCTTTCCCTTTGGTGTGATGTTCTCTCATAATCATTTCATCCCATTATATCAGAGATTATTTCTGAAACCCTGGGGTCTTTGGGAGAGATGGAGGAGAATACATGGATTCACAGGAGTAGTGTGTTGTGGGTGAGGGTCTGGCCTGCTCCTACAGGGTAGCTTGGGACAAGAAGCTGAGATTGTTGGCCAAATGGATAGGTGGTTTCAGAGGTAGGAGGGCCAGGAGTAAGGAGCTGGGCTGAGGATATATAAGTGAGGGAGCAGGTGGGAGAGATGTTCAACTAAAAGAATCAGCAAGGTTTGGGGAAGGGACCAACATCTACAGCTATACAGCATTAAAGACGTCTCCACAGCCTCTTTTGTATTTGGGAAGTGGCTGAAAAGGCATCATTATCAGCAGCACACAATGGGGAAGCTGGATTGAGGGTGAGGTTCTTAGGAAGAGATGAGTACATTTTATAATTTCAGGTGGAAGTGATCTTAAAATTCAACTAGCCCAACTTCCTTCTCAATGAGAAAGATCTTCTACAGCAACTTTGCTAGATAACTATCTTGATGAGTATCTCACACGCACTTGGAAATAAAGTGGTTTCTGCAGTTGTTGGGTGTAAGTTTTTGTTGTTTTTTTTTTAAGATTTTTTTATTGGGGAATTGGGGGAAGGGGAACAGACAAGTTGCTGTCGTTTTTGTTCTTCAGTCTAGTTGTGGAGGACGTTGCTTCACTGGCCCAAGTTGG